TGCTTGATACTCAAAAAAATGCAACTTTGATTTTGGGATTTGCTGATTGATGTTATACTTACAGAAATATCTTGTACAAATCATATGCATTGTCCAAACAGATAAATTTTTAGGAATCTTTCTGAATATTAGATTAAAAACTATTTTTTCACTACGTATATTTCTAGATATTAGAGTAAGAGGCGAATATATTCTCTATCTATACCTGTACCAAGGAAAGTTGGAAGCTACTCTTTTTTTCTTATGCTCCCTTTTCTCCCCCCTCCCTTTTTCCCTTCCTCTCTTCTTGATTTTTCTGTATTTTAACTTTTTTGGAAAATATAACAAAATTTATATTAAATTAAAAAAGAAAAGTGTTGGAGCACACTGTCCAAGAAGTTTTCATGAATTCTCTGTTTCAAATCTCATCTCCACCACAAAGTTGATTATTTAAAATAACAAATGAAGTAAGAAACCATCAGTGAACTCATATGCAGGTTTCCTAAAGACTCTTATTATGTTCAGTGAAGCTTGTCTGATTCTCAGTATTCTCACAGCGTAAGGGTCTATAAAAATGAAGCAAGCTGAAATGGAAAGTAATGGAGGGGATCAAATAAGGGTATCCCATAGAACAGATCTACCCCCAATTTACTGCTTTTCAGACTATCACTTTCAGATGATCACTATCACTCCTGATTACTGCCCTATAATTGGGAGTTATCCAAAACTTCTTGAGTGGGGATACAGGATTGGTAAAGTCTGTGTTAGATGTATAACAGCAAACTGAAACAAGCCCCAAAATAATCTGAAGGTTCCTGATGACCTTTTGTTCTTACTTGTACTCTTATAAATTAGGTCTCCTTAGAGAACGGATGGGCAACTAGTAGCCCTCCCATTGTTCCTGAATGATAATCCCAGCTTTCCTTGGGATTATGGGGCTGGTGGATGTATGGGGCTGTATGGGGCTGGTGGAAGTTGAAGTACGGCAATGTCTGGAAAGCTGCGGGTTTCCACCTCTGAGCAAAATTAAGGTCTACAAGAAGAATCTCCATAGACACTAACAGTGTCTTCTATAGTCATTGAATCATTGTTGCATTGATAAGATAGTAATGAGTCATGCTTTATAGTTCAGTGAAAGCTGACTGATGCTAAAAGATGTTATAAATGACCTTTCTGTGAATCATAATTAATCAGTTCAGCACTATCCTGATTGAAGGTAGATTTGGGGACTTCAGAAGGGCCCTATTTTGTTTTATATTTACTGTCTATAAGATTATTTTAGTCTCAGCCATCCATTGGGTTTGATGTTTTATCTGTTTTTAGGGATTTTCCTGTTTTGTATGCCACCCAGAGTCCATTGGAGATGGATGGCTAATAAATTCAAATAAATTAAAAAAAAAAGATTTTATCATACTGCTGATAGATGGGTTCAAACTAAATAATACATAAAATACATACATTGACCTATTTCCTATTTTAAATTATATAGAAATAATGGTTGATCTGGATTGGGACCACCATGAGTGTGTGTGTGTGTGTGTATGTGTGTGCGTGTGAATCCTTCTCCTAGTTCCTTTTTAAAAAAAATCACCCCAGCCTCTGATTAAATCCCTTATCTTTAAAACCATTTTTTTCCAAGTATGGTGTTAAGTATGAAAGTAGCATTTTATAATTGCATTTTAAATGAATAAATGTTCTGAGGGAGAATGGAAAAGAGAGTAGATTTTGGAATATATGTCTATAGAGATATTCTGTGGAGCTATGAAGAAACAAAAAAAAAAGTCTGATTTTGAACAACTGAAAGCTACACTTAGAAAAGTCAGACATTAATCCTTAGCTCAGAATATTCTATAGAGCGCAGCTCAGAATGTTCTATAGAGGTTAGCAGTGGTCTGGCTATGGTTTCTACTGTCTTTAAGCCACAATTTTGCTATTCCGAAGTGCTCGCTAACTTGATCCCTCATTAGCAGGAATCTCATGGTCTGGCTCCTGATATTTCATCAGGGAAAAAGAAATATTTATGTATCTCTTCCTGACCAAGAGTGCAGGATCTCTGAGATTGTTTTGCACGCTAAAGGTTTGGGGACTGTAATTTTGAAGGAGACAAGCTTCCTTACTATAGCTCTCTCTCCCCCAGGTGCAGCATTCTGATGGCTTTGATGGAGTGGAATCATAGCAATGGCACTGGAGACTTCGTCATGCTTGGCTTTTCAAATCTACCAGAGTATGAGATCCTTCTTTTCTGGATATTTCTGGCCATGCATTTGGTCACTCTGTCTGGGCACTTGATAACTGTGGTGGTAACTTTGGTTGATCCCACCTTATACACTCCTATGTATTTCTTCCTGCACAATCTCTCCTCCATCGAGATCTGCTACACGTTGGTCATTGTGCCCAAAATGCTGACTTACTTCCTAGCCAATAGCCGCAAAGTCTCATTGCCTGAATGTGCAGTGCAGATGTATTTCTTCATTGCACTGGGCACTTCAGAGTGTTTCTTACTGGCTGTAATGGCTTATGACAGGTATGTGGCCATCTGCAACCCACTGTGTTACACCATTATCATGAACCGGACCTTGTGCCTGCAGCTGCTGGTTGTAGTCTGTGCTACCGGCTTTGTGCTCTCTCTTGCGCTCACTGCACTGATCTTTCGGCTGCCCTTCTGTGGTTCCCATGAAATCAACCACTTTTTCTGTGACATCCCTCCAGTTCTGTTCCTAGCATGTAGTGATACCCACACTGATGAAATCTTGGTCTTTGTGGCATGCTTGTTAGCTCTTCTGGTCCCCTTCCTCTTGATCCTAGCTTCCTATGTGTTCATCGCCAATGCCATTCTGAGGATCCAGTGTTCCCAAGGAAGGAAAAAGGCCTTCTCCACTTGTGCAGCTCATTTAGTGGTGGCCGTCCTCCATTATGGCTGTGCCATCTTCATCTACATCCGGCCAAAGGCCAGCTACTCTCTAGAGCAAGACAAAGTGGTCTCCTTGATCTACACCAACGTCACACCCATGTTGTATCCTATGATCTACAGCCTGAGGAACAAGGAAGTCAAGGTCGCTTTTAAGAGGGTCAGGGGAAGAAAGATCTCTTTTCAGAAAAGTGTGAATTTTTGACTGGGGAATTTGATAACTCATGCTGGTTAAATGGGAGATGATGTTAAAGTGGCAGAAATAAGCAGCTGAATCCCACCTAAAGGAAATATTGGTTGGCTCTTTCCCCAAAGTTTCATGAGTAATTAGGATCTTCTGAGGGCTGCTGAAAGATATTGTGCAAAACAAAACAAAAATCCTACAGATCTACTTTCTTATTTGAAAGAATGCTTTGCAAGGTCCCCAATCACAGTGCTCTACTGAGACTGATATAATAGGGCTGTAGAGTCTTTTGGATTTAAAGGATCTTATGTGATTTGGCAGGTACAGTATCTAAGCGTGCTTGTAGAATTGGTCCAAAAGAGCTTAGGGCAGCTGTGTCTTTTCCTGAGTTCCTGTGGTGACCTTTTGCAGCTGCCAGGCCATTCTGGCATTTGGTTTCAGATGTTCCTGACGTGAGAGATGTGTGCACCCTTGCATGTTGCAAATTGCATTTTGCCCTTTAAGTCCCTTGTTATATAATGCTTCTCCTGCCTTCTCCTCTCTGGTCTTTATTAGTTGGGTCTCATCTGAGCAGATATCATAACGAAGTTTGGTGGAGTGAAGAGGAGTCATGGTCTGTCCATCTCTTATTCTCCCCATCACTCCTTATTCCACCTTTCTAGACTTTTCCCTAAATCCATTATTTTATTTTGTCTCATTCATACCCCAGATCTTCCTCTAACTCTTATGTTTCCTTTATTGCTGCTGTTTGTCTGCCTTGTGTATTGTTAGAAATTAGAAATCACCTCCCTTTCCCCTTCCTTCCCCTTTTGGAAAGCAAGAAGTCAGTGGGAGGGCTGCTTTGGAGATCCAACAGCCTGATATAAAATAAATAATAAAATGATGTTAAATATTTGTTTGCCTCTTCCATTTCTAAAACATGCTCAGAACAGCTTACCAAACTGATTTGGTGAGGGACTGATGATGAATTAATCAATGCATAGAGTATGTCATAAAGGAGAATTTGGGAGCACATTTGAACCAGAGAATAGGACAAATTACATTGAAGGGCAAATTTGCTGGGGAAGACAGACCTAAAGAGGGGAGGGGTTACAGTCTCTCTTTATAGATTTATGCACATTAGAGTATATGTTGATTGATACAGCAGCAAGTATTTATTTGGGTATAGACAAGAACAAGTATCTGATTGGAAACAGCACATAACATGCTCATGAGGTCAGTGAGGCCATGAGGATGTAACTATGAAGGAATGGGGCAGGACTACAATGACAATGGGGTTTGGAAAAAAACAGAGGTAGCATCCCATGGACACAGTTTCTTTCTAAGGAGTTACTTACTTTTGCTTTGGTAATCTCCCAGTATCTTTTCCTAGTTTACCAGCATTCATTTGCCTTCTAATATTTTATGGCCAAGTCTAATTTGACAACATATTGCTGAACTAGTGCTTTGCTTTCTCTCAGAAGATTATTTGGGTTAGGGTCTTTAATTCCAAATTCTCCTTCAGCAACCTTTCTCTAGCCACTTTCAAATGTGCTAATGGCCAAGACCTAAGGACCTGGCTCTAGGTCCTAAGGCAGTGTTTCTCAGCCTTGGCAGCCTGAAGATGTGTGGACTTCAATTCCCAATTCACAGAGAGGAATTCAAGTTGGGTGAGTTCAAAGAGCTTTTGCTTGTCTTGTAACCTGAACAGCCCACAAGCTGCTAGCAGGAGGTATTCAGAGGCAGAGATATGAGAACAATCTGAAGCAATCCAAAGGTCTAGATTTTCAAATTTTCTAAGGTTGTGGAACCTGGTGCTTGAAAAATTCCCAGAACCTCTGATCGAGAAGCAAAGCTCTAATGATAGAAAATTGGCTGTATTTTGGTGTTTTTTTGTTTTTTTTTTTTACCCTTAGTCTCTCATGGAATCCCATCAAGTTCTTGTGGAACCCTAGGGTCCTACAGAACACAGTTAAAAAAATCCTCATCTAAACTAAGGAGTTTATTTTATTTTATTTTATTTATTTATCATATTTATACAGCTGCCCATCTCACATAAAGGGACTCTGGGTGGGGTACAACAATTAAAATAAAATAGCAAGTGAATAAAAGCAGGCATTATAAAAAGATAAAAGTTTATTATTAAAATAAAAACATTACCACATTTTTTTTAAACATTTAGGCTTTAAATTTAAGAGTCAAGCCAAGGGTCTGAATGCACGGCAAGGAACAAGAGGGAGGAAGATACCATAGAAACACAGGTCCAAACAAGAAAATTGTTTCCAACAAGGCAGAGAGAACATGGAGGTTGCTCTTATATACTATGTCTTGCTGGTGTGGCTTAAGTAGAGAAGTTGTTGCTCTCAAGGAGCTGGGCTGACTGTCTTTGATCTGCCCTCCTTAACAGCTGAAGTGTTCTTAGGCTTGGCATCCTGTCAGGATTTGACCTCCTCATGATCTCCTTTGATTCATTGATCCTGGGAGCTGCTTTTGCAGAGGTTACCTGCCAGCTTTCCAGGCTGAGAGTCCATCGAATCAGCCTCTTCAGCTTCCAGATCAGTCAGAGGAGACTATAATACACAATCTCTGCAGAATGTCTTAGTTCCACTCCCAGAACTGGTCCCAAACCATCCAAGATATCCCCTGAACAAATGGGATGACATGGCTGGTCTGCTACTGCTGCCTGGCTCAGCATACAATCAGTACTGCCTAATGGTTATCAGGGGAAGTTAGTTCTTAGCCATATGACTGATTGGCAATAAAAAAATTGGGAGGCTTCTCCAGTCTTAACAAACATTGGTATGTATTCAATAAGCACGTTTTCATTACTGTGGGTGTATGTGGATTTAACTGCTACTGGACAGCGACGTTTGAGCTGGAGATAGTAGCCTGATTAATTGAAGAATTCACAGCTAGAAACTAGAATTCAGTAAGAACCAGTTTGTTACCTTAATGCTGATACTAGTACATGCTCTTTGAAGGACCAATTAGTTTGATGAAAGTAAAGAGAATCAATGAGGAATGGTAAATGTTGGAAAATGGCTGTTCTTTTTGCATTAGAGATACATCACTCCCAGTGAAAGTGCATGGATATCTAGAAAACCATATCTGATATGTAGTCTATACTGTTGGCGAAGTGTGAGAGTTGGTCAAAACATCTAACACTCCTAGTGGAGTAGGTTATAAATATAACAACAACAGCAATACAAAGAAAAATGCAAGACCAAACATAGTTGAACTGCATGCCTATAAAAGCAAATTCACCGCTTAATGTAGAAAACAAAACTGATAATATAGGCAGAATAATTCTTCTTCAGCATAGCCTTTAGTTATCAATACCAAGTTGATCAACAGAGCTGTGTTCTCTTCAGTTCTGGTGAACCTCCAGGGAAACTGTTTTGCTTGAGATAGCCCAAGAGAACACTCTGCTACGTGCCCTTGTTTCTCAGCTCCACTTCAAAGCAAATGTTTGTTATGAGTGTATGTTTATTCAGAAGTAGGCTCAAGTGAATTGAACACTTACTCCCCAGCAAGAATGCTTGTGATAGCATTCTCTATTTCCAAAAGCCTTCTGCTGTCTTTGATGGTTGATGAACCAGTGTTGTGGTAAATAAAGAATGATGATATACAGGAGGAGGACCCACTTGCCTGCTTGAGGCAGTAGCAGATGTTGTTACTCTTGAGATGGCTGCTTTTGGAAGACACACTGGGTGTAATTTGTGTTTTTATACTAAAACAATTGAATTATTCTTCTAAGATGTTCCCATTCTTACTGGAAAGGAGAGACTATCCTAACAAGGTCTATCACAATGGTGTTTTAATATTTCTATTCCTTGTTGTCTGCTGTTCTTTAAGTTTAGAAAACACATCCTGAATATTACTCTGGAATTCAGCAGGATCTTAGTATAGGTAGTCCTCGACTTACGACCACAATTGGGACCAGAATTTCTGTTGCTAAGCAATGCGGTCGTAAAGCGAGACATCACGTGACCACATCGCTTAGCCACCGCAATCTTGGCTATTCTCCTTGCCGTCGTTAAGTGAATTCCACTGGTCATTAGCTGAGGATCCACCCCAATCCAAGCCATTCCAGGCTTGGTTCTTACCAGCCCCAAGCCTCAGTAAGGTAAGGGACTACCTCCAACTCCCCTCACCCACCATCTCCCCCCACATCTCTCCCCTTTTGGCTGAACTGCACCCTGCCTTGTGGCACAGCAATCAGCCCCAGAACCGCACGGTTGCAAGAAGCCTTGAGCCATAGCACAGCATGAAGCTGCAGCTGCCCCAGTCCAGCCATACGAAGCTGTGCAAAGCCATCCCAACCCAGAAAGCTGCAGCCACCCCAGCCCACCTGCCATTTGCAAGCAGTTTCTCTGGCAAACAATTCCTGCACGTGGCTCCCTGGGCCAACCCCTAGGCCTTTTTCATTGGTTGAAACAGCTTCCTGCCTTCCTCATTGGCTGGCAATGGGGAAAGAGAGTCCTGAATAGAAATAAAACACTCTTGATACTTCTGCCTCTAACTTTCCTGCTGACTCTACTGTTCTTCCAGGACTTTTGGTCTGAGGGCCTGAATTTCTGTAAGGTATGTGGGAATGACCTTGGGAGACTGGAGGAAGAGCTGCAGTCTAGAAAATGGTCTGATAAATGAAATCTGAGTCCAAAGGAGGGTGGGGGTGGAGAAAGCATTCCAGAAGAAGCCCTCCTTATTTTTGGGACAGTAAAAGTAAGGGAGGGGAGAAATGCTTTCAGACCTGCAAGATTCTGTTACTGTAACCTTAGAATAAAGGTAGCGTTAGTACTCATGGTTGGTGCTTCTTGTCTGGAGTACCTCTAAGGGCTGACAATTTCAGATCCAGTCAGGAAATCTGCAGTTATAGTTTTCATTACTCTGAGGGCCTGGAGCCAACAACTGGCTAGGGAAAAAGCCATTTCTTGCTGCTTCTCTCAGCATGAAGCCCAACACAAACTCTGCCTCTCACCGGAAGAGGACAGTGGCTTTATATCTACAGTCGCCTGCTGTCCTGCAGCTCTCTTACTCGC